TAAAAAGTCGAGTTTGGAGAAATAAACTGAAATGCAAGACAAACTTAGAATTGTCTTTTTCTTGTAATTCTGAGTTTAAATCTAAGAATTCTGACTTTTTTCTTGCAGATAAAACTTTTTCTCAACTTTCTCTCCGAGAAAAAGTCTGAGCGAGATAAAGAAAAAGTCAGGAATGCGAGACATAAACTCACAATTTTGTCTTTTTTTCTTGCAATTCCAACTTTGCATCTCACAATTCTGAGTTTATTTATTGCTATATATCACAAACAATTTTTTTCAGGACTGCAATGTTAAATTTTGTAATTCTGACTTTTTCCTCCTCCGAATTCAAAGTTTATTTCTCTCTTTCACAGAATATAAAACAAAGTAATAGGGTAAGATTTTTTTTTCTTGCAATTGTGAGTTTAAATGTCTCCTGGATTGAGACACAGACACGAATGAGTGAAAAATGGATTTCATATTTGATCTACATCCATACACACAGTCAAGATAAAATAATTGCATTTTCACAAGCTGCATGTCAAATTAATATCCAGCCTCATTAAAAAAAGAAAAAGAAATTAGTACTATTATTCATCAAGAACATGTTAAATTGATCAAAAGTGACGTTAAAGACATTTATAAGTGTCTTCAAACACACACACACACACACACACACACACACACACACACACACACACACACACAGAATATGTGTTTGCCAATTACTTGGTTTTTGAATATCACCTTTTTATTAAATTTTTACTGATTTATAATATATTTTTAAAAATAAATGTATTGTATATAAATGTATATAATGTACATATATTGCGTTTGGATAACAACAACAATAATAATAATAATATGTATTAATATGTATTTATTTATTTAAACAAGCATGCTCATAACTGTCAGGTTAAGGCAAGTTGTCACATGTGGTTTCAGTGTTATTTTAGAATAATTTCCAAAAAAAGATACAAAATAAAATAAAATAAATTAAAATACAATACAATACAATAAAATAAAAAGCAAAAACTGTTTTTTGAATATGTATTTATTTATTTTAACTTATTTTATAAAACAAAATTCAGTTTCATAAATAGATGCTGTTAATCTGATCTAGTAAATGTATGTACATGCAATGCATAATGAATATTAAATTAATAAATATTAATGTATTTATTTATTTATTTTACTAATGTCCCAGCAAAACATAAATGGCACCAAAATATATTTCTTTCAAACAAAATATTATTTCATTCTTTTCTTTCAGTTTCCCTGTTGATTTTGCAATGAAATGTGACCTGGACATGTTCTTTGTGAAATTCACGCATGTCCGACCACATTTTGTCAATGTAAAATAAATGAGGTTAGAAATGACTAGATATATTTCAAGGCTGTACCTATACGGCACAATGGCTGCAGCTGTATGGCAGTAACTACCTGCCTTTAAAACACATACAGTCTCTGCATCTTGAATTGTAACACGGCGCATGACAAACCCATGCTATCGATCCTGTGTTTGCTGGAGTTTAGGGTGCGAGAGGAGCACCGGGTCAGAAAGGATCAGCGGGGCCAAGAGGAGCTCCGGTGAGTAAACGTCCCGCTGGAATATCAGCTTCACCTTTTTACCCCCTCATTGTGTCAGCTGACCCGATAAAATAAAACACTTCAGAGAAACTGGATTGGATGGAGGCCCAGGCAGCTGCAGAGCTGCTCATCAGATCAGCAGCCGCAGCCAGAGAGTGAAAAGAGCAATCTGGACAGGGGTCAAACGCTAACCAGCATCGGTCTGGGACTGAGTAACAGAGTAAACAATGCTAGGGTGACCCCTGAACATTCGGCTGAGTCCGAGCAAACGCTGCTGCCACCTAGTGCTGGATCACATCTGATGCGCCTCTGTGTTTAGGGCTTTTGAGGGAACATCTAAGACAAGAAAATGTAAGGAACGTATATATATATATATATATATAGAACCGAATGCTAATGCAAGACATTTGAATTCAATGCTTCATAAAATCTAAAAATAAAACTTCCATTGCTTTTTCCATTTATTTTACAAACAATAAATACATTAATTAAATAACTAACCTTTACTGTGGCTTCTCATCGCACTGCAAAAACTCTTCTTCCTCAGTATTTTTGTCTTGTTTTCCAGTTCTAAAGATTCTTAAATCAGGATATAATTACTTAAGAAAAAAAAAATGACGTAAAATAAGAGAAATATATCAGAATTAAGCGAGTTTATGATTAAAACAAGAACAAAAATATTAGTAACACTTTACCTAAAGCATTTAAATATAATGCATTAATTATGCCTATATATGCACCTTATAATGCACTGAATGATCTCATGAATAATTGCAACCGCAGTTATAATACATTATAGTAATACGTATCTATTCATTGTTGCATCTTTAGAAATTGTAACATGACAAACAAACCTTCAAATATTATACTGCATTTTAACTTTGTTTACAATTATTTATAAAAAGATGTAATGCATTGCAAAGTACATTATGAAAACCTTTATAATGCATTACACATAAAGGCTTTAAGTGTCACCCAAATTTACTTTGCAAAATGCAATGCTTTCGCAAGGCAAAACATGAATATCTGCCTCAGTATTTTTTTCTTGTCTTCCAGTGCAAACGTCTAAATATATTTAACTCAAGATATGTTTACTGGAGAAGCAAAATGACATAAAATGCTTATGATTAAAACATGAACATATCTGTCAATAGGCTCAGAAATATTAACTTATTTCAAAGGGAAACCAAGTTTTGACAGATACTCTAAGCATAAACTCACTTCATTTTGTTAGTAAACAATACTTCATGTCTTCGTTTGGCATCTCCAGTAAATGTATCTTGATTTAGGGATGTTTAGATGTTTGTTCTGGAAAACAAGACACATTTAATTAATTCATTTGCAGTGCATGCAAAATTTAATGCCATGAATTTAAGACTTTCTGCTCTGATTTAAGACCTTAATTTGTGAAAATGTGACTTTTTATGACCTGCAGAAACCCTGTGTGTTAGAATCGGTTTTGCACATCATAATTTCCATTTCCATTCATTTATGCCATTTCTTTTAATTTAAGTGAGTTCGTTTCCATTTTTTGGTCAAGTAAGAGTCTTCTGGAGTTGTGCTGAAGGTTTATTTGCATGTGTGTGCCGCTGTGTGTTATCAGTGTTCGGCGCTTCAGTTTAACTCTGAATCCTTTCTGATTAAATCCTTCAGGGCGCGCCGGGGCCTTCGGGGCCCCCCGGAGCAGACGGACTCCACGGCCCCAAGGTTGGTCTGCTCCAAACATCACCTTTAGCAATTATGCTAATACCTTGACTTGAATCAGGTGGGAATAGCCGTGCTGAGATTACATTTATTGTGCCCTTATCAAATGGATTATAGAAGTACGCTGAACAAAATCATTTAGGTTGCCGGTTTTGTAACAGCATTTAATTTAATATTTCAAGTGATTAATAGTCTGCTATCAGTCTATGGAAACAAATGGCTTCTTCTAGCCACGTTATAATGGAGGAGTTCTATATGCGTGCGTCAGATGTGTGTTTGTGGACGTTTACTCACTGCTGTGTGTGTTTAGGGTAACGCAGGAGAAAAGGGAGACGCAGGTATTCCTGGAGCCGCAGGTCAAAAGGTAAGAGCCTCGTCTTTTGTAGCTTAGATTTTGTGCATTAAGTCACTCAGTTGTGAGGTTTGCATTCAGAGCTCTCTGGATAAGTGAGGTGAAGAGTTTATTCTCAGTGGGTTTGTGAATCTCTCAGGGCGAGCGGGGCGAGCTGGGATTTCCAGGCCTTCAGGGAGCCATGGGCCCTCCTGGATTTAAAGGACACAAGGTAATGCTGCCGTCCCATTAAACACCAGCATGCACGAGTCATTTTTTAATGTTTAATGTTTCAGAATGAGTCTCTTCTGCTCACCAAGGCTGCATATATTTGATCAAAAATACAGTACAAATTTTGAAATAGTGTTCTATGTGAATCTCTGTTAAACTGTAATGTATTTCTGTGATGCGCAGCTGTATTTTCAGCATCATTCCTCCAGTCTTCAGTGTCACATGATCTTCAGAAATCAGTATAATATGCTGATCTGCTGCTCAACAAACATTTCTGATTATTATCAATGTTGAACACAGTTGTGCCGCACCATTTTTTTTGTGGAAACTGTGATGCATTTGACTTTTTTCAGGATTCACAGATGAATAGAAAGTTCAAAAGAACAGCATTTGTTTGAAATAGAATCTTTTGTAACATCATAAATGTCTTTACTGTCACTTTTGATCAATTTAATGAATCCTTGATCAGTAAGCGTATTAATTTCTCTGACCTCCAAAGCTTTGAATGGCCGTGTATATTAATGAATTAATTTGCATATGCAAATAAATGTGACTTAATATATAAACTGTTTAAAAATATAAACATTAGGGATTCTTTGACGTTCAAAAGAGCAGCATTTATTAGAAATAGAAATCTTTTGTTACAGTGTAATGTCACTTTCAATCAATTTAATGCATCCCATCTGAATAAATCATACAGACCATAAACACTAGTACTAGACAACCCAATGCAGAAATGAAGTTATCCACGGCTTTAGTGACAGCAAGGTCAGCAAGGATTTGATTCCCAGAGACACACATGCTGATAAAACCTCACTCTGGATAAAAGTGTTTGTCAGGTGAATAATTAAGCATCTGAAAGGTTTCATCTCGATAAAGGATTACAATCCTCTAATGCAACGCGCTGTGAAACCACATTAAGGTCGTATAGATGCGAAATGGTCTACCAGCCTGCCGAGCCTAAACCAGTTCAGCTAGAAACCAGCTCTCATCTTCTGAAACACCTTGAGCACTGCACAGTGGCAGTATGCTTTATGTAGGCTATATATGCATATTCATACTATAAATGCAGTATTAAGATGTGTAGAGATGTGCCGACGCTGCCATAAATCTATTGTCATTTGGATAAAGCATCAGCTAAATGACTGCTTGTGTGGAAGATATGCCTGATGTACTGGCTTTTCAGCTCATTAAATGTAGTTTTTGACTGATATGCTGAAGAACAGGGTTCTCCTGCTGTGCAGAAGTGGAAATAAGTCTGTGTTTCTCTTTTATTTTCAGGGAGAGAGAGGAGAACTCGGACCCAGAGGCATTCAGGTGGATCCCCAGTCATTTCCTTCACACTTTAAAAACACTTTTGACTAATACTATAATAAGTCTGTGATTCATCAGAGGTTTGCATTTGGAGTCAACACAAATTCAGATTCGTCTCTGATCTCAAACATAACTCGAACCTAGATGATAGCCGTAGTGTGACATGTGGAACAGGTTAACTTCATCACTCTTCAAAGTGATTTGTGTCATTTTTTTGGAAGTTAACATCTGTGATGGGCTCATATCTCATCTCAGTATGCAGAGATTTGCAGAAATAAGACATTAGAGGCTGGTTTGTCAGAAAAGTGTAAATGCTGGATCTTATTACTGTGTTTGTTTGAGTGCCTGACCAGCAGCAGCTCAACCAATAGTATGAGTTTGGGGCGGAGCTATGTGTTTCACTGACCAATGGCAGACGGGGGGAGTGTTTGGGAAACCTGTTTGGAAAACGTGATTTTTTAAATTCTAATAATAAATATAAATAAATAAATAAATAAATAAATATATTTGTTAAAATACATTGGCCTTTTTTTATATTTTAAAAAATATATTTAAAAAATCTAAATATACTTAAAAAAAAAACAATATATATATATATATATATATTTCAAAATATACTTTACCCTCCATATATTTAAATTCATGAAAATATATTCACATTTGAAGAAAAAGTTTGTTTACAACTCATGTTATCATATTTTATATATATATATAATATAAATCTATGTTCGGTCTCTAGTAGGCTATTCTATCCACATTTACATTTAGCCTTAATGTAGGTTACTGTAATATAGGAAATGTATTTTCTTGCCCCTGAAACTGAATATTTTCAATTTTCAAACATATATTTAATTGAGTTATATTTAGCGTATATTTTGAAATATAATTTGGTCATGGAAAAGAAAATGCCATATGGGTTACTGAAAACATGGTTACTAAATCATAGAAATACTAATTATTATAATGACTAATTTCTAGTTATTTTTCTCATGCTTACACTACAAGATCAACATCCACAGTGTGGTCTGCGTAGTTTAGCTAGCAGTCTCAGTCGGGTGCACCACTCTAAGTGTAGTTGGCTCAGTGTCTCTCAGTTAAACGGATGTGACACCGTCTTCTAAAGGTTATAGGGAGCCACCTGCTGTTATTAAATGCTAATGATAACCTTTCAGAGTTTGAGACCCCTGCTAACACAGACCTCCTCCCATTCACAGGGTGAAAAAGGCAGCAAAGGCTTTGCTGGATTGCCTGGCTTTCCAGTAAGTGTGCAAACTCGCCTCATCCAGCAGGGGGCGCATCTCCTTATAGCACCCACCTCAACATCTGCAGGGTTAGCAGGGCTGCGAGGAGAAAAAGCCAATGCATAGCATTCAGAATTTAAGAAGAGAAGTAAATCAGGAGAGTTTGAATTACAGGAAAATTCAAATTGCGACATATAAATAATTACATCATTTTAGGAAGACAGATTCATCATTTCAGGTTAATTAATACTGTATATATATATATATATACTCCTGAATTCTGTGGAAAAGCTCAATAAATCCCCAGAAACCTTAGTCACAGACACTGACTCACAAATAGCTTTAGGGAGAAAACAATGTGTGTCTTTGTCAGTCACACGCTTGAGCAATCTTTCGATGGCGTAAAATCTGGTTTTTGAAATAAAACGGTCATTGGTCCATGTATACTTGCAAGCAGCATTCATCAACATCACAAATATAACACTTTATGTAGTAACTTTGTGTCAAGAGTAGAACATGACAACATACAGAATCAAAACAGGGCTTTGAAGTAAAAACATGCATGAAACCTGTTAGAAATGGGAACAATATTAACATATATAACCTAACCCACACAAAAAATGTATAGCTATGTACATATGTAAATAAATATGTTTTATATTTACTTATATAATATCAATTGTTATATAACAATGTAATTTATTGCAAAACATATATAAACACATAGTTTATGTTGTTTTGATAAAGTATAAATACAATATACACTGTTGACATGTATAGTTGCTACATATAATGCCATATGAAAAGCATTATACAAATTTGTATATATATATATTTATATATATATACTTTGTGTGTGTGTGTGTGTGTGTGTGTGCGTGAGAGTGTGAGTGTGAGTGTGAGTGTGTGTGT